CTTTCCCTATAAAGGCAAAACCTATCCATCAGGAAGAGTCTTTTTCAGCTTCTGGGGCCCAGGGAAGCTTGCTTTGGAGCTGAACACTACCCTCAGCCGTTTGAATCCAAATTAAAATGAACTCACATAACAGGGAGAAAGCTTAGCATTCCAGTCAGCTTTAGACTAAGGCAAATTTCTCAAAGGCCAAGTCCTCAATATGGTACAGTTCACAAAAGTTAATGGGATAACAGTGATTTCCAGCAGCTGGAGGGGTGGCCTGTAGTATTTGTAATCGTTTTGTGACATGCTGGTTATGTTAAAAAAAATTCAATTTTAACTTTTATTTGTAGCCATGTCTCTCATTTCCTCTTCTCAAGCGACAGCCACAGATAAGTTTGTGAAAAGATAAATGCTGCTGTAGACAAGCCAACATTCTGTCACCATGCTGGAATACTTTCCACGAGCACCACCACTGACCACGTCTTTCCACCACCACTAATGTGTGTTAACCATTAAACAATCTGAGTAGGAATATGCACGACTTCTTACAAGCTTTTAGTAGTAATATTGGTACAAGCTGAAAGCCTTCAAGAAGAAGCAATTTTCTTGAGGGTCCAGTCTGATCCCAAGATTTGAGTAATAAGAAGGCACTTAAAGGCATCCCTGCAAACCTTCTCCTCACCACTGGCTAGGAAAGTACACACCATGAGCCAAAGCTAACAGTAGCAGCGAAGTATTGCCTGACATTTATCTTTCAAGGAAGTTTAGGCTATAGAGCTGTTGTACAAGGTAAATCCACTGGCCAAGCGTCTTATCCAGTAGCTCCTGGTCCATGATTGTTGGGCAACATGTTTCCTGTGAGACATCCTAGTAGCAATAACGACCAAATAAAACTCCAAATTTAAACCCAGTGCTGTTTGCAATACTGGGTCAGCACCAAGAAGACACCTGAACTTTGAGTCACAGAGCTCATGTTCCAATGTGGCAAACCAACTTCAGAAGAACCACCTCCTTCTCTAGAACATCAGCTGACAACCTTCCCGGCCCTGCACAGCCCATATAGCTCAAAAGTAAAAGGCAAAGAAAGGTTAAGTGAACTCTGAAAATACTTCAAAACTGGGAAGTGACACACAATTCCAAGTATTTGACACGCAGGATGGAAAACGTGTGACTTTCCATTTGTTTTATGGCTCTGTTATGAACCAAACCAACCTATACACAGCAGTGACAATAAACCTCTGTCTGTCAGCAGAACAGTTAGGAAGGTGAAAGAACTTGTTGTGTTAGAAAACACCTCTGTTTTGCAAGGCCTCTGCCTTTGTGCAGTGGAACACTATGATCCTACCTTAATGACATCTTCATCTGATGATCTGCACTCCACAGATTCCAGAAGATCAGTCACAGTCCCATCATCTTCCACGGAGACCACTTTGACAGGGACAGCCACTGTTTTCCCGGTGAGAATAGCCGTATTCAGGATCTCCGCTTCCTAAGAGACAAAAAAAGCCCATTTAGTCAATCTATTTTTCTATCGCTTCATTAGTACCACCTATATTCAGCTTTAATTTCTAAGATTATTTCTAAGATTGTTCTATATTCTAAGATGTACTGCAATTTCTAAGATTATTAACTAATTTTTTCCATTCCAAGAACTGTTCTATGTGCAGCATGAAGAAAAGACAAATTTCCTCCTTTTAACCCTGGAACTAAACTCCCAGTTGTGCTCCAGGGCTGTTAAGATATTTGTCATGCCCTAATTGCTATTTCACGAATGCTCAGCAAGTGTCAGAGCAAGCTAACACCCGAGGAATGACCCTGCACCACACAAACAAGATGTACCTTGCATCTAGCACTACTGAAATGTTCATCCTGAGGAGCTCACTAATGATCTTGCTGATCATATAAAAATAATGTCTTAGGTCTTGCTGTTTTACCCACAAAACTGTTTTCTGGGAGGTTTTCTACAAATACTTTCTACAACATTACAATTACTACGATTACTTTCTACGACACTATTGGATGAATACTGTCAACATTTAGACCAAAGAAGCACTGGATAATTGCTAGGGAACAAGTCTGGATTGAGGATAGTCAGAAGTCCACTTTGCCCCAAATCTCTTGGGGGATCTTTGACAAGAGTTCGGGCTGTCTTCTGCAATATGCATCCTGCACAGGGACAGCAGCTGCTACAAAAGCCACCTGGTCACACATGAAACCAGCTGGCACACAGGGTGTGGGAATCAGAACCCTTGTCAGGTTTTCTAGGACTTACCCTGGCTCTTGTTGGGTAATGGTGGGCAAGCACTTGTTCTGATTTTTTACCTTTTAATAGGTGCAAAACCGTCCTCTCCCAAGGAGGAAGGATGCTGAGAAGGGCCTGGGCTCTTTAAACAGAATGAGCTCTGCAGTGACCTGTGTCACTGCTACGTCATTGTGATGATTACTGCAAAATGCATTCCTTCTGTTTGACTTATCACTTGTAATTTAAAAGTGCTGAGTTCTGATTATATGGAGAGCATGAGACTAAACAGCACTCTCAGTCACCTGGGTGTCACATCGGTCCCGCACAGCAGATACACAGCACGACTCGTGCCAAGACACACGGAGAGCTCAGATCGGTGCCTGAATCCTTCTGCTCCTAATTGCAAGATCCTGCTCGTTCCTGGAAAGGTCTCTGAGCTTTTCAGAACCGTGCCCGCGAATCACGGACTATCCTGTAGAACAAGAGGCTCTTGATTTCAGCTGGCTCTCATGAAATAAAGGCTTCCAAAGCCCCCCAGGTGCTAACTCCTCATTATTTAAATAGCTCATGCTGTGAGCTCTGAGGCTGACCTGATTTTACTTGTGCAAGACAACGAAGTGGGAGACTGAAACCAAGTTACCAGAAGATTATGACTCCCCCTTCTCCTCTTGGGCTAAAGAGGAGAAGCCGATATTTCTCTCATCTAAAGGATATGGATCAAAAAGGCCTCTTCCTATTACTTAAAGAAACAGAGACACTTTGTTTGGACTCAAAGCAATATTTAAAGAAAGAAAGAAAAAAAACCTCCTGGGCTTTTGATAGCTGCTTTGCTAAAGTTTCCCCATCCCCATCGTGATCTTTAGGGGAGGGTGAAATAGGATTTCACAAAAAGAGGACTTAAGAAGAAAATCCTCTCCCTCCCTCAGCACAAAAGTCTTTTAGATATTCTGAAATTCTAATTCATACAAAGGTGAGAATATCTGCCTGTATTGTAAGGTCCTTCTGTCTTGAGCGCACATTTGTTCTCAGTAGAAAATATATTATTCAGGAAACTGCAATCTCAGAAAGATTTGCAATTAAGTTTCCAGGTTAATTTTTCCAGATCTGGGCTCTGCAGCAAAGCTACTGCACACAGGTTATTTGGATATTTTGCTCCCACAGGCTCCACAGAGCTGCAGATGGGGGCAGTTTGACAGAACAAGTGCTATTAACCACCCACGATAATTAGAGAATCCAGGCATTAGGTCCTGATTTTGCAAACACTTGGGCATGAACATCATTTCATTGAGACTATTTGAGGCCACACCACATGCCTAGCTACTTACACCTAGTACCAAGCTGAGAAGACATGCTGCCCCAAGCAGGGATGGCTTTCTTCCTCCAGTTGATACATTACAGTATGATCCTTGCAATTATTTTATAAAGCAAAAGGAAGATTAATAACCAAGCCTTTGAAACAGTGTGATTAATGAGGTCTGCTTACCAAAGGCAAATGTAGTTTCTCCTGGCAAGAGCTCATAACTGAGAATGATTCTTACAAGCTTCAAGAATTTATTTTGAGTTTCTGAATTACATACAGTTTGCATCCTAATATATCTGGTACCTGCTACTTTATGGGAAGAGATCTAAAACCAAGCTCCTTAGTACTCGCCTATTTCACTGCCCCACCTTGTTGGCCTTCTTCAGCCACCTTCTAAAAGCACGTGCATAGCACATCTAATCCCCAGGGAATTGCTGCATGTCCAGAGCCTCAAGCTGCCTTCAAAGCTCAGTAACATGGTGTCGGGTCCTGCCCCAGAGCTCTCTGTCTGCAGGACAGTCCCACCGATCCCGACTGTGTGAATAATCACAATGGCTTCAATGAGAGTACTTAAATGCAAGGAGATGACAGTATTCATACCCGATTCTAAGGTAAGGAAGTAAATTCATATGTTATCTCTATCCAAAATCAAAGATCCTAGATTCAAAGTTTTGTGGTTTTAGTCGGTATCCATGTTCTAGATCTATATTCAGAACCAAATTGTTTCCAGAACTGTGCACAGTCCACACCAACACAACGTGCAGCAGGTGACAGCATTGCTAATTCTTAGAAAGTCACAAAAATCTCCAAAAAACTCTTTGCCCTCTCTCTCTCCAAAAGAAACAAGGGGGGCAGGAGGCAAGAAGCAACGCCTGGAGTTTGAAGAAACAAGGGGGGCAGGAGGCAAGAAGTAATGCCTGGAGTTCGTAGAAATGTCTACAGGGATTTTCTGATTTTCTATCAGCAACTACTTGTCCTGTCCGAGGAAAACAAATCCACGTAGTACTTCTCCAGAGCAAAAGAAGGGCACAGCAAGCTGGCAATGGTCCGAAGCTGTGCTTACCTACACCAGAGTAACTGAGTGGTATATTCTGTTTGCAGAGTTTTCAGTACCTCTACATGCACGGACTTGGAGAATGATTTCTTTAGCCACCTGTTTGCATCTTGAACACAGAGGCATAATAACCATTTACACCAACCTACGCAGCAGGGGCAGAGTAAAATGCTTCTTCAGTCATTTATTCAATGGCTAGAAAGGGCTTAATGTTCCCCAGGTGAAAGCATGTAAAAATCATTTCATTTCAAGGAAACACACATGATGTCTATTTAGCTACACAGAGATTTATCGTTCAGAGTCTCAGCATGTAAAAGCTATAAATCTAAACAGTGACTAATTTAAAAGTGTTACTTTCTGCTGCTTAAGTGATAAAGGAATCTTCCAAAGAAGTATTATGTTCTTTCTCCATAACCAACATAGATTATAGGAGATTTGATGTCGGGGCATTGCAAGATGAGAGCAGTTATGCTGTTGCAAAGCAATAGCCAAACATTTTAATGGCTAAAAGTTGATTCCCTGAGCAGCTATTACAAAGATGCTGAACTTTCTCTAACTCTTACCTAGCATATCTCTATAATTCACACACACCAAACCACCCAAATAATAAAATGAAATAATAATCAGAGAAAAACATTTTTCTCTGTGTAATAAAAATGGAAGACCAGGTAATCTTTATTCTGAAATTGCTACCACATTAAAAAAATAGTGATGCTTTTAAAGAAGATTCTGGAGTGAGCACTCTTTGCCTACTGAAGAGATTCCTATTAAATAACTGAGCATATTAAGCCCTCCAGGAGAAACATATTCAGAAGATGTACACAGGAAGCATCTATTTAAGTAGAAATGCAGAAGTGAATACCTATTAGTTTTTTCAATTTTAATTGGTAGCTTCCCTGCAATTTAATTTCCCTTCGGATATCTTTTGCTTTATAATTCCTGGGGTGAAAGAAAGGACTTTAACAATATCTTTATAAATCTTAAGGATTTCTTTTTCTTCCCCTAGTTCTCTCCATATACACAATATTTCCTAACGTTTGTATTAATGCTGACTTTTAAAAGAAATAAATACAAGGCTAACTCATGCTTAGCTTTGAGGCCCCACATCCGATTTATGTAACAAAGAAAAGTTTAGTACTGTCAGCATTTGTTTCCAAGAGCACTTTAGTATGATTCAACACATCATTTTAATGCTGAACCCCTGTTAGCCCTCACCAGCCTCACAACATTACGAGCAGCAACAAGGCACCAGCTTGTTTTCCAAAAAGACCTGCAGACACATTCCCCAAAATAACTTGGACTGATCTGCAGCTCATACCCTTCAGGAGAAGTAGGACTTGTCCTACGACAACACACAAGGAAAAATTATTAAAAAGTCCCCACAACACTGTAATACGTGTTCTATAAGCACAGCAGATCTCCAGTAATATTTTTTATTATAGTAGTAGAATATATTTTTCCAGTCCAAATATCTAACTTCTAAAATCAAGCATGCTCCTTTTTTTGTTTTCACTTGGTATCTTGGCTTTTGGGTTTACTATGTACAGACTGCAAGAGGGAAGAGAAGAAAATGATCACTGAAATCTCCTGAAGTCCAAGGCACACCACCAAGCGAGAACAAATAGCTGCCTGAAAATCCATCCCGTTTGACACTCATTAATATCCTCCATTTTCCTCCTTTTTTTTCTTTTCTATTAGTCAGCCTGTAGAGCATTTATCCAGGGTCCACCTTGAATCTTTTCACTAGTTTTTTCAAAAAGGCCTGGATTTTCCTCCCCTCCAGTTAGCAGCCATCTTATTTATATCAGAGAATCCATGCTTCAGCCGTGCATAACTAATTTCAAATCTTATTTAGCATCAAGTCTCAGAATTAAGAAGCTAAGTGACAGCTGT